TACATGTTAGTGCTTTGTCAGTTACAAGTGTTGCAATGATCTTTCCTAATTTTGTGGTGGGCTTGTCTTCTTATTGTCTTTATCATGTTTTGGGAGAACAGAGTTCTTAACCATAGTGTAGTCAGTTTTATGTCTTTCCCTTTATGGTTACTGTTTTTCATATCTCACCACCCAGAACCTATTGGGGTGCCTGGGTGGCTCTGTGGGTTGGGTCTCTGTCTTCAGCTCAGGTCATGATCTCAGGGTCCTGGGATCGAGCCCCACATCGGGCTCTCTGCTCAGCAGGGAGCCTGCTTCCTCCTCTCTCTCTGCCTGACTCTCTGCCTACTTGTGATCTCTGTCAAATAAATAAAATCTTTTTTTTAAAGGGTTTTCTAGATTTTCCTTTCATATTTAGGATTATAATCCAACTAGAGTTTTGTTTTGTTTTAGTTTTGGGTAGATTATCCAATTTCATGTTTTCCATATAAAGAATTACTCTAACATCATTATTTTTAAAGATTTACTTATTTACTTTAGAGAGCAAGAAGTGTGGGGGGAGGCGCAGAGGGAGAGAGAGAATCTCCACCAGAATTCCTGCTGAACACAAAGCCTAATGCAGGGCTCAGTCTCACAACCCTGAAATCATGACCTGAGCCAAAAATAAGAGTTGGAGGCTTAACTGACTGAGACACCCAGGTGCCCTTCTATCATCATTATTTTTAAAAGTATCCTTTCCCCACTTCTCTCCAATGCAAACTCCGTCATTTTTCAAGTGTTTATACATGTGCAGGTCCATGCATATGCATTTTCCAAAAAACACAATAATAAGTTCATACTTCTCCTAACATGACCCAACTATCAAACCTTACTAACCCTTTAAGCAGAAGGGGATGCAAATTCCTTGGATCACGTTTACTCTTCTAGATACTCCATAACTTAAATACTACTGTATAAAATTAACAATACTTAAATACTGTGTTATATAGTCAATGTGTATTATGTTACATAAAAAGAAGTGAGAATACAAAGATATTATACACACACAGACACTCATAACAAAATGAGGAAATACAACAATTACAGTTCTCATTTCTGGGTAGTTGGTAGTCATAACTACCCTCTTCCACTACCTGCTCTGTATTTCCTTTGCCTTCGTCAAATACCTCAGTTGGTCTTGGTTCTTTACTTGGTGGGGTAACTAAAACCTTCCCTTCTGAAGGGTCTCAGCCTTTAGCAGTCCTGACTGAATTGGGTTGTGGTTTTCCATTGACTTTAATTCATAAGGCATGGTGATACTAAAGAAATGCCCAAGAGGTCTCCTATATTCTGGGCACACTCTTTTTTACCTTCACCATGGAGTAGCAGCCCCATTTACCCTGGTAGTCATGGCCCATCACAGTAAGTCCCTTCTTTGCCTCAGTTTAAAATGACCTGGTAGCAGTCTTAACTTATGGTTGGTTCAATGGAATCATTACCGTGTATCCTGGTGGAAGCATTCCTTGCTTTGGAACTAAGACCTATAGGTCAGCAGGGTAAAAGGTCACAAAAACAGTAGGCAAAATTTTTGCTAGTGGGTCACTGTGGGTAATAGTGAGGATGCCACTCCTATTTCAACCCCTCCATTCCTGGACTACCAAGTCTTGGCTATGGGAGAACTAGCATCATATACTGAATGCTGTTTTAAGGTATATACAGGCTCCTGGAGAACCTTGTCTCAGTCCTGTAAGGTGCTGATTGCCACCTGATACTCTAACAGAGTTTCAAAAAGTCATTCCACTGTTCTATCAAGCCAGCTGCCTCAGGATGGTAGAGAACACAGAAAGCCCAGTGAATTTCATGAACATAGGCCACTGCTGCACTTCATTGATATGAAGTGAGCTTGCATATGAGGCAGAACCATCTATGAACCAGGCCTTAGTTTTCTCTTCTTTTACATTACACCAAGGCAGGTCTAGCATTTCTAACTCTCTCACAGTGGGCCATCTTTTTATCCATGTTTTAGCCAACCAACCAAACTGTCAGAGTCCTTTTTAACCCCCCGAGCTGCAACATTCAATACGGAATCCCTGCTCAGTGTGCCCATCTCACTAAACGTGGCCTGACCCAACTTTCTTCTACCTTATTTCACACAGTTAATATCCATTCCCACACATGCTCTCTGGATTTCTGTCTGGATAAATTGGAAAACTCAAGCAGTTCTTCTGGAAGGTAGTGTACCTCATGAGTCACACTTTGCACCTCACTTTTAGTGGCCTGCTGGGACTTCTGTTTAATTATTGGTTGTTATAGCTAGAATGAATGCTTGTGCTCCCCACAAATTCTATGTTGAAATCCTAACCCCTAAGATGATGGCATTAGGAGATGGGGCATTTGGGAGGTAGCTACTCATGAATGGGATTAGTGCCCTTATAAAAGAGACCTTAAGGAGATCCCTTGCCTCTTCTTCTCTAACATGACATTACAGTGAAAAGAGGACTGTCCGTGAGGAAGCGGGTCCTCACCAGACACTTGACCCTGCTAGCTCCTTGATCTTGGACTTCCCAACTTCCAGAGCTGTGAGAAATCAATTTCTGCTGTTTATAAACCACCCAGTCTATGGCATTTTGTTATGGCGGCCCAAACAGACTAAGACATTGCCTAGAAGCAAAGAGAAGTGGTGAGAGTGGGTCCTGAAGAGAATCAGTATTGTCTTTCAGGGCATCTGCCTGAGGGAAGGCCATTACAGTTTCTGCAGGTAACGCAGAGTAAATCCTCTCAGGTGGGAAGAGAGAGGCTGTTTCTACAGGCAAAGACAAATCAGAGTTAAAGGTCTTAAAGCTCCCAACTCCAGGACGCCTGGGTGGCTCTGTTGGTTAGGCTGCTGCTTTCAGCTCAGGTCATGATCCCAGAGTCCGGGGATCAAGTCTCACATCAAGCTCTTTCCTCACAGGGAGCCTGCTTCTCTCTCTTCCTCTGCCTGCTTGTGCATGCTCTCTCTCTCTCTGATAAATAAAGAAAATCTTAAAAAAAAAAAAAAAAAGCTCCAAACTCCATCGGTTTTCTCACATGTCCCCATTCCACTTTCCAGGATCTCATTCTTTCCCAGTCAGTGCCTTTACCTTAATAGGAGACACCCTGTAAGGCTGGGAATTCAATGTGTGTTGTAGATCAGTCACTCCCACAATGAGGTTCTGAGTTTGGCTCTCAGCAATTTCAGCCCTGCTGTAGGTGATAAAGGTCTCTTTCAGGGCATATATAGACACTATTAGGTCATTTATGTGATGCTTGAGTTGGGAAATTGAATCCCTGAGCTCGTCATCTTTTTCTTCCCCGACTTTGTTCAGTGATGTTAGGAGAAACCAACTCAAGCACACATTTCAGAACACAGCTCATATGCTCCTCCCACTTTTCAGGTTCCCTCTCCTCTCTACCTTTTACCCTCATCTTTTCTGCTGCAAATTTCAATTTTTGTGCCTCTTTCAGGCAAAGCAAATTTAGCACCCAGTGAATTAATTGTTTACTCCTCAAATGTTGTTACTGGTTGGTTTGTATTGTTTCCTTTGCAAGGGATAGGAACTTAGTCCAAACCAGCTTAGGGCAAAAGGAGAATTTATTGGTTCATGGAATTAAGGGACAGGTTTAGCAACCAAACTGCAGGAAGGGGAATTTAGCTATACTCAAAAACCACTGGAACCAGGAACTAAAATCTGCTTCTCTCCTCGCAGATGGGCAACAAATCCCACTCTTATCTTTCAGCTTTCAACCATCTGGGAGGGGTGCCTTTGCTTCTTTATGGTTCAAAGCTCAAAAATGCTGGGCAAGGACTCTCACTGTTCTAACTTACCCAGCTGTCCTTCCCCCCATATGATGTGTATGTGTTCATATAAGAACACAGCACCTCCCAAGGAAACCAAATAGGTGAGGAGGAGGAGCTGTTTCCAGGAGAAATGAGGGATTTCACCACAAATATTAATAATTTCATCAATCCTTAAGTAAAATATTGGATAACATTTTCGCTAATTTCTGCAACACTTTAAGCAAAACGGCATCAGATCACAGAGGAGGGGGCAATAAATATTGCATGCCAGGTAGCAAGGAGAAATACTTTCAGAGAGGCCTCTTGAGGTGAGCCTTTAGGATTGAGTGTGATTTGTCAAGCCAGGAGGGGATTCCAGGGAGAGAGAGAGTTCCGAGCTTGAACAAATGGACATAAATACCTCCTCTTCCAGAACTCTCTTTTTATATTCTGGAAAAATGTATTTGAAGCCACCATAAAACAAAGGACAAAAGTATCCTTTCAGCGCAAAGTTAGAGGATTAAATGATCTTTAGTTGGACTGAAACACAAGCTGTGTGAATAAACAAGTGACTAAATCCCCCTACAACTTGACTTTCTCATCTCCTGCATAAAGATGGTAATGGTACCTTAAGGCTCAAGTAACGATTAAATGAGATAATCCCTCAGTCAATGCTTTCACACATCGTAAACGCCCAAAAAACCCGCTAGATATCAGCAGTTATACTCATAAATGTAGCTGAAAAAAAATGAATTAAATGCTAAATCCCAGCTAGATACCATTTTTAAAGTATTCAGAGTGAACTCGTTATGCAAACCAAACATCGTGAGGTCAAAATATTTAAAATTACTCCTTTTAATAGTTCAGGTACGTACAGTGTTACAAAACCAGGAGAAACCAGGAAGCAGAGTTGACGAGTGGGTTTAGATGCTCTGATTTTGTCAACTGAGACAGGTGAAAAACAGGTGATCAAACCCAAAGAGCTCCCCGAGGACCTGCTGAGCGCCCGGATTGCGCGACCCAGGGGAAGCTGCAGCGAAGGCACAGCCCGGGGGCCCACACAACTCAGACGCGCAGGAGCGCGGAATCTGCGCCTGGCCCCAGCTACAACGAGCAACCCAGGATGGGGATTCCCCCCAGCCCTCACCACTCCGCCCGCAAAAGAACCCTGCCCCGCCCCCCGGCCGGTCGACGTCCCGGGCGGCGCGGTCGTGACGTCACTTCCTGTCGCCGGCGCGCACGTGGGAGGAAGTGCCGGTGCCCGCGGCCGCCGCTCCTGCTTGTCTCTGTGGTTACGTTTGTCTGCCGGCCGGGCAGCTTCCTCCAGCTGGGCAGTCGCAATGGGAGTCCCGGCTTTCTTTCGCTGGCTCAGCCGCAAGTACCCGTCCATCATTGTCAACTGCGTGGAAGAGAAGGTGAGGAGGCGTCTGACGGCCGCCAGGGGCTCAGGCGCGTTTAGGCCGCGGCCCTCGGCGCCCGCCACCTGCCCCCGAGGCGCGGTGCTGGGTCCCGCGCCACCCTGTCGGCCTCGCGGACAGGGCGGCCCGACATGCTGTTGGGCGCCGGCACCCGGAATCGGGGCCGGGGAAAGCGGGCGGGGCGGGGCAAGAGCCGAAAGGGGTACGAACTCGCTTGAGGGCTGTTCCTCCCTTGCCCGCTTTTTCCGGGACCGGGAGGCCCCGCCCACGGCTTTGTTTCTTCCCGGCCCCGTGCGTTTGGTTTTCCGAAGAGTCTTAGTCTATTGAGCCACTCCCGGCGGCTCCACAGAATTAGCTGGTTAGGGCTGCGCAGATGCTGATCCTGGCCTTTAACAACCTTGTAAAGTAATAACCGGCGGCGAGCTTTTTTGTTGTTTACTGTCCGTGCCTGAAAGGCTTCGTAGTGCCAGAGGCCATTTGTTGCTAGATTTGTTAGATTCCTCGGCGAAAGCAGCCATCCAGGAAAGATAGGACAAGATAGAAGTCTGATAAGTGCCCCTTGTCTAGGTGCTCTACTGTCGGACAGCTTACTTGTTAAAATTTTCGGAATTCCTAGATGCACTCGAACAGTACACTTTTTGTTGTTAGTTTGTTAGTACATTGACTTTTGTCCATTCTTCAGTTTTGTAGTTATCGTTTCCGTGTTACCAGTCCAAGTTCGATTTTATACTCTTAATTAGAATTTTTGGGTTGGGAAGGTTCAGGGGGTCACATCATGCCTTCCACCCTTTTGTTTTTGAAGGAAGTACCCAGCTGTCACTGTGAAAACTTACTTTTGTTTCCTCCTGGCACCGTGAGATCTTAATTTTTGCTTATTAGCTATCCAAAGGAGGGATCGAAAACCTTGTTTTGATGGTATTCCCAGTATTTTTTTTTTTCTGAAAGAGAAACTTAAACTTAATGCTTGTTTCCTTTGTTTTTTAAGACTTTTCTCAAACATAACGTACATCTCATTCCATTTTTACTTTCTAGTGATAACCAGTTCTAACTCTTTTGGTTCTGTTTCTGAGTATCATGCTTATGTCTGATTTACTGGTTTTGGATCTAGCTGTGGAATTGCAGCTATGATAGAAGACGGTTTAGTCGCTCTTGCAATCTCCTTCCCCCCTCCAAATAATAGTACATCACTATCTTCATTTCTTCTAACGGTAAGCTTGATAATTTTACTATGCCTTTTTAAAAATTGTATTTCCTATATAAAATATCCCTTGACTTTTCACTGTCAAAGCTTAGCTATTAGCTTTTCTACTCTGGCTGCCCTTACTCTTCACCTCAGCGTGTCAGTTATACTTTTCCCTTGTTGGCATCCAAAATTAAATTGTCAGGGCATTGGTAATACTGATTTATTTCAAAAGCTAAAAAAATTAGGGGTGCCTGGGTTGCTCAGTCAGTTAGGTATCTGATTTCAGCTCAGGTCATGATCTTGCCGCTCAGCCTGGAGTCTGCTTGTCCATCTGCCCCTCCTTCAGTATCTGTCATTCATTCATTCATTCATTCATAAATACATACATACATACTTTGAAAAACGATAAAAGCTGAAAAAAATCAAATAGTATTGTCAGTTATTGTCACTGTGCCGACTCAGGTTATGTGCTACTTTTGTCTTTTCCTTGGTATTGCTTTTCTCTTTTCCTCTTTACATCATTCCCTATCCAATCTCCCTCTTGTCTCAGATATTCTATCAAGTCCTCTTTCTTCTTGGAGACTGCTTTTTGAGATTTTTTATTTCTATTGCTGTCACACTTGATTATTTAGGCTTTCTGGAAACCTGTTTCTTGAAATTTTTAACAATTCCTCTCTTCAAATTGGAGATACTGTTTTCTGATCATCTTTCTTGGCTTAAATCCTTGGTTTTTATTTTCAGTCAAATTCTTAAAGAAGTGCTATGTGAGATGTTAGTTTTCTGAGTCCGTTGTATCCTTGTACATATGGATGGCCATTAGCTAAATGTAGTTTTAGCTTGAAAATAAGTTTCCCTCAAAAGTTTGAAAGTATTATTATTTTGACTTCTGTTATCCAGTGTTGTTGATGAGAATTGAACATTAATGTGATTTATTTATTTAATCAACACACTTATGTAGCGTTTAACATGTATCGAGTGTTGTTCTAGGCACTTTACAGATTAATTTATTAAATCTTCATACTCATATGATTATTACTCATTATTACTATTACATATGAGAAAACTAAAGGATGGAGTGGTTAAGTAATATACTTAAGGTCACTCAGTTAATGTCAGAGCCAGTGTCAACCAGGAAGACCATGCTCTTAATTTATGTGTTCTTCTGCTTTCACTCTTTTGTAATTGATTTATTTATTTTTATTTTTTTTAAATTTTTTATTTTTTCAGTGTAACAGTATTCATTATTTTTGCACCACACCCAGTGCTCCATGAAATCTGTGCCCTCTCCAATACCCACCACCTGGATCCCCCAACCTCCCACCCCCCGCCCCTTCAAAACCCTCAGATTGTTTTTCAGAGTCCATAGTCTCTCATGGTTCACCTCCCCTTCCAACTTCCCTCAACTCCCTTCTCCTCTCCATCTCCCCTTGTCCTCCATGCTATTTGTTATGCTCCACAAATAAGTGAAACCATATGATAATTGACTTTCTCTGCTTGAGTTATTTCACTCAGCATAATCTCTTCCAGTCCTGTCCATATTGCTATAAAAGTTGGGTATACATCCTTTCTGATGGAGGCATAATACTCCATAGTGTATATGGACCACATCTTCCTTATCCATTCGTCCGTTGAAGGGCATCTTGGTTCTTTCCACAGTTTGGCGACCGTGGCCATTGCTGCTATAAACATTGGGGTACAGATGGCCCTTCTTTTCACTACATCTGTATCTTTGGGGTAAATACCCAGTAGTGCAATTGCAGGGTCATAGGGAAGCTCTATTTTTAATTTCTTGAGGAATCTCCACAGTGTTCTCCGAAGTGGCTGCACCAACTTGCATTCCCACCAATAGTGTAAGAGGGTTCCCCTTTCTCCACATCCTCTCCAACACATGTTGTTTCCTGTCTTGCTAATTTTGGCCGTTCTAAGTGGTGTAAGGTGATATCTCAATGTGGTTTTAATTTGAATCTCCCTGATGGCTAATGATGATGAACATTTTTTCATGTGTCTGATAGCCATTTGTATGTCTTCATTGGAGAAGTGTCTGTTCATATCTTCTGCCCATTTTTTGATATGATTGTCTGTTTTGTGTGTGTTGAGTTTGAGGAGTTCTTTATAGATCCTGGATATCAACCTTTTGTCTGTACTGTCATTTGCAAATATCTTCTCCCATTCTGTGGGTTGCCTCTTTGTTTTTTTGACTGTTTATTTTGCTGTGCAGAAGCTTTTGATTTTGGTGAAGTCCCAAAAGTTCATCTTCGCTTTTGTTTCCTTTGCCTTTGGAGACATATCTTGAAAGAAGTTGCTGTGGCTGATATCGAAGAGGTTACTGCCCATGTTCTCCTCTAGGATTCTGTTGGATTCCTGTCTCACGTTGAGATCTTTTATCCATTTTGAGTTTATCTTTGTGTACGGTGTAAGAGAATGATCGAGTTATGGACCCTCAACTCTATGGTCAATTAATCTTCGACAAAACAGGAAAAAATATACAATGGAAAAAAGACAGTCTCTTCAATAAATGGTGCTGGGAAAACTGGACAGCTATATGCAGAAGAATTGATTTATTTTTATTTCTGAATTTTTTAAAGATCTTTGTATCCTTGGTAGTATAAGCTTTCATGATTATGTACTTAGGTATAGGGTTTTTTAAAATTTAAATTCATTTGGATCAGTACTTGGCTGACTCTCTCAGTCTGGAAACTTGTGTTCTCAGTTCTAGAGAATGTTCTTTGATTTTTTTTTTCCTGACTTTTTTCCTCTGCCCTCTGAATTCTGGATACTGGGTCTCTGATTTCCTTTTTTTTTTTTTTTTTTCCTTTAACCTATAATGTATTATTTGCTTCAGGGGTACAGGTCTGTGATTCATCAGTCTTATAAAATTCATAGCACTCACCATAGCACATACCCTCCCCACTGTCCATAATCCAGGGACCCCATCCCTCATACCTCCCTCCCCTCCAGCAACCCTCAGTTTGTTTCCTGAGATTAAGAGTCTCTTATGATTTGCCTCCTTCCCCGGTCCCATCTTGTTTCATTTTTTCCCTCGCTTCCCCCCATGACCCCCTGCCTTGCCTCTCAAGTTCCTCATATCAGAGAGATCATATGATAGTTTTCTTTCTCTGGTTGACCTACTTTACTTAGCATAATATCCTCTAGTTTCATCCACATCGTTGCAAATGGCAAGATTATGTGGGATTTTTTTGATGGTTGCATAGTATTCCACTGTGTGTGTGTGTGTGTGTGTATATATCTATCTATCTATCTATCTATATATATATATATATATATATATATATATAGAAAAGGAGATGTGGTGTGTGTGTGTGTGTATAGATATATCTATCTTCTTTATCTATTCATCTGTTGATGCACATCTAGGCTCTTTCCATAGTTTGGCTATTATGGACATTGCTGCTATAAACCTTGGGGTGCATGTGCCCCTTCGAATCACTACATTTGTATCTTTAGGGTAAACAACCTAGTAGTGTGATTGCTGATTCACAGGGTAGCTCTATTTTTGACTTTTTGAGGAACCTCCATACTGTTTTCCAGAGTGGCTGCACCAGCTTGCATTCCCTCCAACAATGGAGGAGGGTTCCCCTTTCTCTGAATCCTTGCCAACACTTGTCATTTCCTGACTGGTTAATTTTTGCCATTCTGACTGAAGTGAGGTATCTCACTGTGGTTTTGATTTGTATTTCCGTGATGCCGAGTGATGTGGAGCATTTTTTCATGTGTCTGTTGGCCATCTGGATGTCTTCTCTGCAGAAATGTCTGTTCATGTCTTTTGCCCATTTCTTGATTGGATTCTTTGTTC